GCGAGAGAGAAGAGAGAGAGAGAGAGACGGAGAGAGAGAGAGGGATGAAAGCCTGCGTGTGAACCTGCGTCTGTGCGTCTCTCTCTACAAGCAATGAGGCTTAGTTACTTCAAAAACAGCGATTTTACCCCCTCATTGCAGAGAAATATAACATTGCGAGTCAGTAGCCTGTCGAAGCTATTTTACTAATAAGTTTCCGTGTTGTGTGTGCGCTGCGTGAACTCTGATATCTGTGTGCAATAATGTGTGTGTCCATGCGTCTATGAAAGCAGCGTAGCCTACTGCATATAGTTTTAGTTTAGCTACAAACCCAAGCCCAACCCGACCCGACCCGAACCCGAAGCTATCTGATCTGAAAGATATAAGAGGAGAGTCTATATTTAAAACCCAGCAGAAGGAAAAATCCACTGGAGGACAGGACATGCTGAAACATGAACTCTCATATAGTACCACAGTGTTAAACGATTAAAGAAGTGCAGAGTTAATTTAGGCCTGAAAACTGACTGAAAATGAACAAATAAATGTTTCTGCCACTATCATTTTATGATCATTTCAAGAGACTATCAACACTGCATAAAAAGCACAGTGTAAAGCACAGACCTGTGGGTAGAAGTGTGCGTATGTGTCTTTATCTGCCAGAGATACACTTTCTCTCAGAGGTAGGATCTGAAAAGTCTAAAAGTGGAAAGTCAAAATCACAAGAACATAATCACAGGTTTAATAACACATTCTGAAGGAGTGTTTATAGGACCCATATTTAGCTAGAGGATAAGACTTCACAACCCTATACTCTTCAATTCAAGAACAGGATTGTGAACAGAGATGTGAAATCACATCTTAAAGACCTTCTGACCTAAAAGCTTATGCATAAATACTTTTTTTTTTTTTTTTAATATATAGATATCACAGATTTTGCTTTTTATTAAAAAGTTCAAATTAAGTTTCTAGAAAATAAAATACATTTTAACCAGGCTTAAGTGCATGCTTTATCATGTAAGCCTGAGACACAAGTCCATCAGTGAGTCAGAGAGCCAATCAGATGCAAGCTTAAAATATGCTGATTGGTCCCTGCTTACAGAAGAATGATATACACACACAGACACTATGATTTCTCAATTACAGCCTGACACAACATCTCAGACTTAATCCACAAACGCCCCCATGCAATTATAGCAGCCTGTCAATAAACACACAAACGATGAATCATACAGACACAATCACACACACAGACCTCTTAAATCCTTGTGAATGTCATAGGAGTCAATATTCCTAGAGCAAATAAACCAGGCATTAATCAGCAAGCCCATATAAGAGATACACAAGGCATCAGGAGTGTTTATACACAGATTGCCTGCTACCAGAACACATCAGTGGTGAGAAAACATGTCTCAGATCACACCAGCACTAGAACTCATTCCTCTTTAGGTGACAGAGTCGTCTCTCCTCTCAGTTCCTCTTACCCTTTAGTCCTGGAGACCCTGGCAGTAATCCAGCCCTTAGGTAGCGGAGCGCCACTGACCTCGCTGGTACACGCAGATCCAGAATACATTAGAATGCATTACTGGCACAAAAACACTCGGATGCCTCTGATCTGCTGGATTATGATGATGATAGTTAAACCAAATGACTGGAAAACAGTGCGAGTCTAAATATGAGGAGACGGCATGATGTTTAGGAGTTACAGCGGTCCAGAGACGATAATCAGATGCAGATGACATCTTATCTAAAAGAGCCACGAGACAGCAATCCAATTACTGAAGCCCTGATCAGATGTGACTGATTATTTACAACCACCTCAAGTACAAATAAACATGTTGCTCACACATACAGCTGAGGTTTTGCTGCTTTTAGTCCATGTCTGTTTGGAGGCTATTTATTTGCTAGTGAACTCCTGACAAAATATACTTTTAAGCTCTTTAAAAATGAAAATAATTTACTCCCCTTTAAGTTGTTCCAAATCTGTATGATTTACTTTCTTTCATTGAACATAAAAGGTTGTGCGTCATATCCCATGCCTTCTCAAGTCATATGATAGATTTATGTGAGGAAAAGTCTGAAACTGAAGTTGTTATTCAACGCCTAATTCAATATCTGAAATGGACTACAAAAGCTGTATTAAGCCAGTTTTGTTATTGTTTACTAAAACTATTAAAAATCACTTTCTGTAACTGAAATAAAGCTGAAATAAAATATTAAATATTAGACAGAAGAATGATATACACACACAGACACTATGATTTCTCAATTACAGCCTGACACAACATCTCAGACTTAATCCACAAACGCCCCCATGCAATTATAGCAGCCTGTCAATAAACACACAAACGATGAATCATACAGACACAATCACACACACAGACCTCTTAAATCCTTGTGAATGTCATAGGAGTCAATATTCCTAGAGCAAATAAACCAGGCATTAATCAGCAAGCCCATATAAGAGATACACAAGGCATCAGGAGTGTTTATACACAGATTGCCTGCTACCAGAACACATCAGTGGTGAGAAAACATGTCTCAGATCACACCAGCACTAGAACTCATTCCTCTTTAGGTGACAGAGTCGTCTCTCCTCTCAGTTCCTCTTACCCTTTAGTCCTGGAGACCCTGGCAGTAATCCAGCCCTTAGGTAGCGGAGCGCCACTGACCTCGCTGGTACACGCAGCTCCAGAATACATTAGAATGCATTACTGGCACAAAAACACTCGGATGCCTCTGATCTGCTGGATTATGATGATGATAGTTAAACCAAATGACTGGAAAACAGTGCGAGTCTAAATATGAGGAGACGGCGTGATGTTTAGGAGTTACAGCGGTCCAGAGACGATAATCAGATGCAGATGACATCTTATCTAAAAGAGCCACGAGACAGCAATCCAATTACTGAAGCCCTGATCAGATGTGACTGATTATTTACAACCACCTCAAGTACAAATAAACATGTTGCTCACACATACAGCTGAGGTTTTGCTGCTTTTAGTCCATGTCTGTTTGGAGGCTATTTATTTGCTAGTGAACTCCTGACAAAATATACTTTTAAGCTCTTTAAAAATGAAAATAATTGACTCCCCTTTAAGTTGTTCCAAATCTGTATGATTTACTTTCTTTCATTGAACATAAAAGGTTGTGCATCATATCCCATGCCTTCTCAAGTCATATGATAGATTTATGTGAGGAAAAGTCTGAAACTGAAGTTGTTATTCAACGCCTAATTCAATATCTGAAATGGACTACAAAAGCTGTATTAAGCCAGTTTTGTTATTGTTTACTAAAACTATTAAAAATCATTTTCTGTAACTGAAATAAAATATTAAATATTAGATTAAAAAATGAAACTTAAAAAATATCAGTGAAAAATCTGAAATGTTGCCTTAGCAACAAACTATAAAAATAGGTCTTAAGTTCTGCGAGGTTTAAACATCACCAGTTGAAGTTCTAAAATTACTGTCTGAAACTAAAAAGACTGAAATAAAAATAAATGACTGATTGGTCCCTGCTTACAGAAGAATGATATACACACACAGACACTATGATTTCTCAATTACAGCCTGACACAACATCTCAGACTTAATCCACAAACGCCCCCATGCAATTATAGCAGCCTGTCAATAAACACACAAACGATGAATCATACAGACACAATCACACACACAGACCTCTTAAATCCTTGTGAATGTCATAGGAGTCAATATTCCTAGAGCAAATAAACCAGGCATTAATCAGCAAGCCCATATAAGAGATACACAAGGCATCAGGAGTGTTTATACACAGATTGCCTGCTACCAGAACACATCAGTGGTGAGAAAACATGTCTCAGATCACACCAGCACTAGAACTCATTCCTCTTTAGGTGACAGAGTCGTCTCTCCTCTCAGTTCCTCTTACCCTTTAGTCCTGGAGACCCTGGCAGTAATCCAGCCCTTAGGTAGCGGAGCGCCACTGACCTCGCTGGTACACGCAGATCCAGAATACATTAGAATGCATTACTGGCACAAAAACACTCGGATGCCTCTGATCTGCTGGATTATGATGATGATAGTTAAACCAAATGACTGGAAAACAGTGCGAGTCTAAATATGAGGAGACGGCATGATGTTTAGGAGTTACAGCGGTCCAGAGACGATAATCAGATGCAGATGACATCTTATCTAAAAGAGCCACGAGACAGCAATCCAATTACTGAAGCCCTGATCAGATGTGACTGATTATTTACAACCACCTCAAGTACAAATAAACATGTTGCTCACACATACAGCTGAGGTTTTGCTGCTTTTAGTCCATGTCTGTTTGAAGGCTATTTATTTGCTAGTGAACTCCTGACAAAATATACTTTTAAGCTCTTTAAAAATGAAAATAATTGACTCCCCTTTAAGTTGTTCCAAATCTGTATGATTTACTTTCTTTCATTGAACATAAAAGGTTGTGCATCATATCCCATGCCTTCTCAAGTCATATGATAGATTTATGTGAGGAAAAGTCTGAAACTGAAGTTGTTATTCAACGCCTAATTCAATACGTGAAACCGGTAATCGTTCCATCCCTACAAAACACATCACCAAATGACTACAACATTTAAAACTTGATCATTAAAATGACAACTGTTAATTCAAAACATTAATACATGCTATAAAAGTATATAAATAACACAAATTAACACCACTTTACATCCATAAAAAATGGCAAAAGCCACTTAATCTCACATGTCTTCAGTAAAGCAGTGAAGACATGAGGTTGAGTAAATAATGACAGTAGGTCACTTTTAAATGAACTATTTCTTTACATATTCACATATAATGAAGCATTTGTAATATAAATGCATAAAAATGTATTTATTCACAACAAATTTTGAATAGTAGTCATTAGAGAAACATGTTTTTTGGGTCCAGATGGTGCAGTTACAGCATCTATCAACAGGGGCTAACAGGCCATGCTAACCAGCTAACTAGACCATTTGGGTTTAACAGCAGACATGAACAGCCAGAGAAATGTGTGAAGCAGCATCTTCACGAAGAGAGACACGCTGTAAACAAAACCACCAGGGCAAAAAGAGATTTCATTCATTTAGAAATGCTGCTGGTTTTGATCAGACGTCTGTCTGCAGCGTGAGACAGAACCACAGGAGCGCACGTCTGAGCATGGCTGGATCCTGCTGTAATCAAGAGTGGATACGGCCCAAGACGGCCCACCGCAGAGACACAATTTCATATCGCAGTCCTTTCCTTCTGCAAACATTTAATATGCCATATGCTCTGTTCCTCTCTCTCTTCTTCCACCGATTCCACCCGCCACATACGTCCACATCCAAACACAGTGTTTACATAAGGAAAGGGTGAGATTTCACTGTTCACACTTGTTTATTGGGCACAACAGATCGTTTTTTGGATTACATGAGGCCAGCAGGCACGGGCGATCGCTGGATTGAGTGTTTTTCTGTTCGGGTTGATATCAGTCCTGTGGGGGGAGGTGGCTAGACACCGGAGCCATTCCTGTGGGCCGTGATGTTACAGATCTGTCCATCTGCCTGACTGAGTTTCCTACACATACAGACTCTTTCCCCGCAGCTTCATCTCCCTCTCGGTCTCTCACTTTCCCCCTCTGCGCCTGCTATATTTCACACCAGGGAGCATTCAAGAGAGACAGTGCTTCTATACATAGAGCTACATAGTTGGTTTATGTGTGCGCGACTGTAAATGTGAGAGAAACAGCGTGGGCACGGATTTCTGGGAAATTCTTAATGTCTAGACTGGACTGTTCTAGATGTAGGAGGACTCTGGTGCTTTCAGGGTAGTCTGAAAAGGGCAAAGGCTGCAACACAAAGAGATGAAAGATCACAGAGGACATCTGTGCCAACTGCTCAACCATGTGGCGAGAGCAGAGGAAAAATTACTCCAAACAAGCAATAACTAAATAGCAAGGAACAGGAGTGGAACAGATTAAAAAGCTCTGCAGTGAAACAATGTCACAGATCTTACGGTAAAACATGCATGGATGAGAAAGATACAGATATGAGAGACATCAGAGAACATAAGAGAAGGCATCATGGCAGTGTTTCCTAAAGTTTGCATATTAAAAGAACTGCTTTGTATTTTAATATATATTAAAACAATTTATTTTTGGGATAGCAAAGCTCAACTTTCAGCTATATATATATATATTAGGGCTGGGCAAGTTAAAGAGCTATTATCGCGTTAACGCATTATAATTGATTAACGCGCATTATTTTATCGCGCATTAACGCAGTTTTTTATTATTATGAAAGTCCGTTGCTCACTGGCTCTGAATACACAGACAAGCCATGGGTCACAGGAGGGGTGGGATGTTGATCAGTACTGGCTTGGGATGGACGTCATCACACGTCTCAACTAATGAGAGCATTTGGGGTTGGCCTAAAGATTGCAGCAATGCTCACATGAACGCTTCTGATAAAATTATTTAGGCTAAGCATTAACATTCACAACTTCATAGGTGGGAAATAGGAAGTTTCCGATAGCACGTGAAGACAGCAGAGAAGCGCTCTTGCTCAGCACAGTGGAGTGCATCATTTTGTTAACTTTGTGGTTTATTATTTTGAGTCGTTTGGGACGCGGTAACACATGGCCCTCTCACAATATATTGCTTATACAGATCGATCACTCTTGCCGCTCAGAAATGTTCACGCAATCATGCTGCACGTATCAGAAGTTCCGTTAGCGCTCACACTCACTGATCTATATATAACTGAACCGCGCTCTGGCCCACCTCTTCCAACCGAGCCAGGGACGGCTAAACAAACAAGGATCGATCACACTAGTCAAACGAACCGGGCTTTGGGGTCAAACGCACTCAGGCACGGTTCAAATCCCCTAGTGCAAGTACACCATTATTCTCTCGCATCCCGCACACACGAGTCTCTACCCGCCCGCACCCACACTTGCCCATCAAGTGTTCCCATCCCGCGCCACACTCTGTTGCGTTGGGTCCCGCGATAGTGCAGGTCTCTACTCGGAAGGTGCCTGTTATAATGTTATGATCGAGGCTCTGGACTTAATGTTTTTATATTTAAATATTTAATTTGATCACATTAATGTTATAAGTTGAGATTTACAAGAAATATTTTAACTGCTACTATGTAAAAAGAATACTGCTGTAAAAAAGCACCTTATTTGTTTAAAGTGTTTGCGAACCAAATGTTATTGCTCTTTTGTTCATATAGCAGTACTTTTAAATGGAAAAAGTGCACAACACTACTTTTGAATGCATCATTGAATTTTGTGCATAACAATGCGATTAAAAATTTTAATCATTACCCAGATATGTGTATATATATATATATATATATATACACATACACACACATATAC